TGTTTAATTCAGAAGTTTTACAAGCCATTAATTACAGTAAAGAAATTACTAGACAATACATAAATAAATTTAAGCATTTATTATATTTTAATTTTTTAAAAAATTAAAGCTTAATAAATATCATATTTTCTCCAAAAATAATAAGCCGATGGATTCGGTGCAGCGTATTCAGCGTGGAAACGATTAGGGAATAACGCAACCTATCATGCAGCTCAACATTCTACGCCACCACCTCAAGATATTCAGGACAAACGAATTGGAATATTTGATTTTAGTTATAAAAAAACTATCCTTAAAGAACTTGAAAAACGAGCAAAAATAATAGCAGTTGTGGATCATCATAAATCCGCAAGAGATGATCTATTGAGTGGAGATGAAGATAAAAAAAATTATTTCTTTGACATGGATAAAAGTGGTGCGAGGTTGGCGTGGGAATTCTTTTGGCCAGATAGGGAAGTTCCATTATTGATTCGATATATTGAGGACAAAGTATGTAAACTAAGAATAATCTAAAGTTAATCATGAAACAAAATAATAGAGTGCATCTTTTTTAAAAAAAAAGGATTTATGGAGATTTAAATTGCCAAAATCTCGAGAGTTTTCAGTTTTTTGGGCAACCATTCCTTTTCAGTTTGAAATTTATGATCAATACGTCAAAGATGAGGTAAATAAGTTTTATATTAATGTTTTTTTTTTTTTTTATAATATTAACAAAACATCTATTGTTCTTGAAAATAGAGCTTGATTGAAAAGGCTATAGAATCCGGAACTCATATCCTTAATTATACTCAGGCTCGTGTTTCTTTCATAAAAGATAAAGATGCTTTTAGACGTAAAATGACTGTAAACATAATTGATGATGATAAAAAGCCTCAAACCAGAACCTATACCGTATTTGTTATGAATTCATCAATATGGCAATCAGAACTCGGAAATTCTCTTGCAAATATGGATGGAGCTGATTTTGGCATGGTATTTTTTTATGATGGAATCTTAAAACGATATACTATCAGCTTAAGAAGCTTGAATGAAAAAGCAGATGTTTCTCAAATCGCAAAAGCATTTGGTGGTGGTGGTCATAGAAATGCATCTGGATTTGTTTGGGATCATAAATCAATTGAAGATTTATTCGATTCTGAAGAAAATTGAATAGGTTATTACCAAGAAATATAACCAAATAATTTAGTCGAATATTTTTCTTACGTTATTAATTATTAACTTATCAATCTTCTGAAAGAACCCAAAATCTTTTTAATTAAGTTCAAAATAATATATTATTAAGTATAATTATATATGCATTATCCTGAATATGCATGATCTAAATTTCTTTTTTTTTACTGCTTTCTATCAAAAATTTAATACCGGTACTTTTAATTATAACAATAGTAAATATGGATTTTTGTATTAACAGATATTTTGTTGAGCATAAAATTTTTGATAGAAAGCAGTGAAAAAAAAGAAATT